ACCTATACATCACAACTCCTGACTAGATCGACTCAACTCTGCACACTAAAAACTTATCAGAAGAAGAGGCATGCCTGTTTCCAGCCATAAATACTATTTATTTTAGCCTTTATGCTCCTACACAAGATGTGTGGCTTTTAACCAAGAATTATAAGACAAAGAGGGAAATGAGAAAATAACACTGTCACGAAACAAAGTAGTCAACAGAATCAGACTCAGATGTGATCCAGATGTTGGAAATGTTAGATGCAATTTAAAATAACTATGATTAATATGTTAAAGGCTCAAGCAAAAAAAGTGGACAGCATATACCAACAGATGGGGAATATCAACAGAGAGTTAGAAACTATAAGAATCAAACAGAAATGCTAGTAATTAAAAACATGGTACCAGAAATGAAGAATGCTTTTAATGAGTTCACCAATACATTCAACAGAGTTAAGAAAGAATCAGTAAATATGAAGATAAATCATTAGAAATTTATCCAAATTGAATCATAAAAATAAAAAATCATGGGGAAAGAAAACCCCAGATCATCACAGCTACAATGTAAAGCAAAGTATACATACTTTACTCACCAAGTTCTATTGATTGTACCTCCTAAATCATTTTTGTTCTTAGCCTCAGTTTTTTCACTTTAAAAAATCAATTTATTAAGGGATTAAGAAGTAAAAATTGGCAGTTACAAAATAGTCATGGAGATGTAAAGTACAGCATAGGGAATTAGTCGAAAATACTGTAATAACTGTATGATGTCAGATGGGTATTAGACTTATGTGAACCACATAAGTCTAATAAACTAACCACAAAGCTGTACACCTGAATCTAATATAATATTGAATATCAACTGTAATTAAAAACAACAACAACAACAAACTATAAAATGTTGAAGGCAGCCCGAGGAAAAAGACACATTAGATACAGAAGAACAAAGATAAAAATTGTAGCATACTTCTCATCAGAAGTTACGCAAGCCAGAACAATGGAACAACATTTTTAATGCTAAAAGAATTCAATAGAACGAAAATATCTCTTAAAAATAAAGAAGAAATAAAGACTTTGACACAAACAAAACCTGGGAGGATTCATTACTAGCGTACGTGCACTACAACTTGGATCTCTACCAAAAAAAAAGGAGAGCACTGGAAATGCAACAATTGAAGGTAAATATAAAATAAGTTTTGTTCTTTTAATAATTGTTTTAGAAATAATTGACTAGCTAAATAAAAATTAGTAACTGTGTACTGTAAATTTATAGCATATATAAAAGTAAAATGTCTGATAATAGCACAAAGAACGGAAGGAATAGGATGATACTGCTGTAATGTAATGAAGTGGTGCAATATGATTTGAAGGTACACCGTAACTAAAGATATATATTGTAAATCCTAGAGCAATTACTAAAAAAGATAAAAAGTGTAAACAATAAGACAGTAGTACACATAAAATAGAATCATTAAAATAATCCAGAAAAGTCAGAAAAGGAACAAAGAACAGGTGGAAAAAGTAGAGAACTGGCAAGATGGTAGATTTAAATACAGCTGTATTAATAATTAAACAAAATAAAATGTAAATGGTCTAAATGTAAACACAAATTGAAAGAAAGATTATCATATTGATAAAAAGCAGGACTCAATTTACAAGAAATTCACTTTAAACATAAAAACAGGGAAAGATTAAAATGGAAAGAATGAGAAAAGATGTATAATCAAAAAAGAAAAAAAAAAGCTGGGATAGCTATATTAACATTAGATGAAGTAGACTTCAGAAGGAGAAATATTACCAGTGATAAAGAAGGACATTACATAAGGAAAAATAGGTCAATTCACCAAGAATACATCTTACAAAATTTATATATGAAGCTAAAAATAGAGCCTCTAAATATGAGGTAAACACCTATAAAACTGAAGGAGAAATAGATAAATCTACAATTACAGCTGGAGATTTCAACACTCATCTCAATAACTGGTTGGACAAATAGACACATAAAATTAGTAAGAACATAGAAGACCTGAACAATATTATCAAACAACTTAGCCCTATTAAGAATTATGGAAAATTCCATTCAACAACAGCTGATTATTTCAAGTACATATGAGATGTTCAGGATAAGACCATGTTCTGGATAAAAAAATAAACTTTAACAAATTTTAAAAAATTAAATCATACAAAGAATATCTCCTAACCATAATGCAATTAAACTAGAAATCAGTAACAGAAAAAAGATCTGGAAAGTCCTTAAATATTTAGAAATTAAAGAGTACACTTCTAAGTAGCTCATGGATCAAAGAAGTTACAAAGGAAATTAGAAAACATTTTGAGTTGATTGAAAACTTTTTAAAAATTAAAAAATTTTCAGGTTGCAGCAAAATCAAGGATTAGAGAAAAATATATAACATTAAATGCTTATAGTAAAAAAAAAAGCAGGCAGTAGAGAAATATCTAGCATTTAATGCTTATATGAGAAATGACTTAAGCTTTTACCTTAAGGTAGAAAAAAACAACAAAATAAACTCGAAGCAAGCAGAAGAAAGAAACAATAAACTAGAGGTTCTAGCCAATGCAGTAAGGCATATGAGTTAAAAAGGAAGAAATAAAAATGTCTGTATTCACAGCATGATTTTTAATGCAGAAAACTGTTTATTAGAAAATGTGTGAAGTGAGCTGTGTGCTAATGTCATGAAAGACTGTTGGAAATGTTCCAGGTTAAAGGATGGTAAAATGACTCGACAGGTAAATTCAATACCTGTTCCTTGATTAGATCCTGAGGGAAAATGCTACAAAGAACATGAATAGGTCAACTGTGAAAATTAAAATATGATGGAAGATTAGATAAAAGTATTATATCTATGTATAATTATGAAGGTGATAAAAGTATTCTATCAGTATAAAACTATGAAGTTGATAATTGCTGCTATGGGAATTCTCTTAGTCTTAGGAAATACCGACATATTTAGGAGTAAAGGGTCATGATATGTATAACTTATCCTGAAATGGTTCAGGAAAATAAAATTATGTGCAAAGTGAAGAAGAGAGAGAAGCGTGTAAGAAAGATGATAAAGCAAATCAGGGTAAAATGTCATAGGCAAATCTAGGTGTTTCCTGTACTATTTTTGTTTTCGTTAACTATAAATTTGACATTATTTTTTTAAATAAAAGTTTTTTAAAAGGCTCTTCAAAAATGGCAAAAGAAGAGGGCCATGAAAGCATTATACTTGAAATTGGAAATTGCTTTTCTTACAGTAAGCAATAGTGACGGGTGAGGTAACTAACTTCTGCTTCTGAAGAAAGAACAGGTTTGCTTACTGCTTGCTGTAAAACATCGGTTTCCCCACACTCAGTGTTCCCCTCCTGTATGCAGCCTGCTCTGTGTGCAGCCATCCGTCTGGGCCCTCTGCGCTGTCCTCACGGGAATTGACAAACATACTGATGATCATGCTCCTTGCTGTGCTATCAGAAATGTCCTTTTTCTCGGACCCAAGAGTCTCATGTCTTCTGCCAGCACCCATGAAAGAGTAATAGGCTAACTTTTTAAACTGAAAGGGTAAAATCAAATCCCAGAACTGGTAGTTTAGTCCTCTGAACAGTCTGATATTCATTAATGTGTTTCTGATTGGCCCTTTCTTATTGCGAGCAGATGACGTATTTACAAACATGTTTTTATACCCTCATCCCAACAATAGCTTTATTTTAGGTTAGTGTACTGTTTACATACATCAAAAGTACTAATAATTAGTATCATAGAACTTTCAGGATTGAACAAGTCTTAGAAGTCATTCAGGGGAAACCCTTTTACTTTCCTAAAGAGAACAGGTTATGGTTAATATAATCCATTGTCACTAAGCAAGGGCTTATATCACTATTCTTATTGCTGCTTCTCACTATGGTTACAAGTGATTATAATTTTATTATACTGCTTGAAGTTGTTTTTTTATTTCATGTGATGTTATTTATTAGAGGTGACAATTACAAAATTATTTGGATTACCATAAATCAATTATTGAAAGCATGTTCATTTTATGGAAGACTGTTGGGTCAGATTCGGCTTTGTGGTACAGTACTGTATGTATGAAAGGGTGACTCAAAATATCTAATTTTAAGAGAATTACTTCTCTCCTCATTAGGCTCTGGTCTAATAAATTAGTATTGAAATCTTCCTCTTGGCCACTTAGGCTGTACACCATAGCAGTTGAGATTGTTGGATTCTAGAACCGGATTTCCTGTGTTTGAATCCCAGCCCTGCCACGTGGGGGCAGTGTGCCTTTGGTTATGTTACTTAACCTCCATGAGCTCTGATTCATTTGTAAAATGGGAATAATTATAGTACCTATCTCATTGGTTACTGGGAGATTAAATAAATTGATACATGTAAAGTGCTTAAAAGAGTGCCTGGCACAAAATAAGTGATACATATTTTAATTAATACAATTGTTTACTAAAAAATGGTTAATAGGCCATGATCATTTCCATTTAACTTGTCAGCCTAAGTAAGAGGACAGTTTCAGAGATGTTTATTTCATTTCTTTTTATATTTTGAAATTTTGTTTTTTAGTTTTTCCCTTAGAGCTTATTCTCTCAAGTTCCTCTTACCAGGGCCTATCACCATACAGTTCTCTTCTACACATTATTCTTGGTGGGTTTTATATGTGTTAACATGTTTTATGTATGTGCATTCCTTTTTTTTTTAAAAAAAATGATGTATTAATTCCATTTTAGTGGCTTTTAAATAATCAATTCCATGAGTCTGTGCTATGCAAATGAGGATATATAAATATTTGAGAGGTGCACTTACAGAAGCTATGGCATATAACCTGATACGTTGGTTATATATTTCCACTTTACCCGCTTTTAACCAATATTCATTACATTTTTTTCTAGATTATGGTTCATTAAAAGTACTAGACCATATAAATACTAGTAAGACCATACGTTGCTTTTAAGAATAAGCGATCACCCAGTAACGTGGTCTAAGTAAAATGTTCTCTTTTTTAATTATGTAGTCCTCCTCGCCATCCTCATCACAGCCTCATTGTAGCCACTGCAGAACGAAGGCCTCATCATTGTGTCACCATGCATCCCTGCCCTGGGTCAAACGTAACCATGTAGACCCTGCAAAGGCTACCAGTCCATCTCTCCGTCTTCGTCGCTGGCGACCCTTCTTACGCCTACCATCTTTGGGTCTCCATTCTGTTGTAAGTGTAGTCAATCTTCCAACTCTTCTTCCAGTGACAAGGGCAGTCCATTTTTTTTTCTTAAACTTCTTCAGTCTTCAAAGTGCTTTCCTCTTGGTTCACTCAACCATTAGCTTTTCCCCCAGTAAGACTGCAAGCATACCTCTGTGCTCTGCAGTCTACCTGGACTTTCACCAGTGCCTTGGTGAACATCCATCTTTCCACTCCATAGCCTGCCAACATAAGCTTGCCTGCCTTTCGATGAGTACTGATTGACATTCATGATAATGTTTAAGTTCCTATCAGTTGTTAAAGTGAATATGTGTTCTCTTCCCCTTCATCTTTCTGATTTCATTTAGTTGACTCAGGTCAACAAATGCTGTGTACCTTCTGAGTTCTTTTCCATCTCTTTGTTTTTTTTTCATGTTTCCGAACATGACTTTAGTCTCTTGTCATGCTCTGGGGTGCTATACTTATTCTATCTTTAATCTAATCCTTCATGGTGTAGGGTATTTCATCTAAACTATTTTATTCCCTGAGGTGGCTCAGGTACTTGGTTTAATCTTGACCCAATCTTCCCTGCCTATTCAGTTTCTAAACATCTTTCCAAGTAGGAGGTGAAGATTTTCTCCTTGTGAATTGATACAGGCTTCCCACAGATTTTGTGATTTCTCCTTCTTAGGTTGATAATATTAGCAAACTATTAAACAGTACATTTGTTCTTGTAATCTTGCTAATTATTTTAAACGTTAAGGTTGATGATCGAATTCTAACAATTCTCATAATTGAAATAAACATTAGGATTCAGCAACTACAGCTCTTATCTCTCATGTTATCTCTCATGCCACTGTAAGTGGCAAGGACTGTGTTTTGGTAGAGCCTACCTAGAAATGTTACACCCGAAAGATTTGCTGTATGCCATACATTTATAAGAAACTTGACGCTTCTATAAGTCATGACTTTCAAAGCCAGAGGAAGTCTAATTACACATACATTTAATGCTTAAAAAAAAGTTGGTGTCAAATATCCCTTTCTCCCCCTTGTTTACTCTTCTAGAGCTATACTCCAATTATGAAGCGATGTCTTAGCACTTTTAAACATCTGCTTCCACCAGATATCAGTAAGGTCATCAAAATAGCCTTTCATTTGTTCTGAGTATCAGTAAACTGGTGTCTTCCTGTTTCATTATCCTCGTTGGGTCACAGTATGCATTTGCCATTTTTATTCATTTATCATTTGATATTTGTTGCTTCCCTGCTGTGCCATACACTGTTTGGCAAAGTAGGAGATATGAAATGAATTATATGATCAGAGTAAAATCCTAATTTTGTAAATTCTGACTTTGGCACAATTGATTATAAATATGAATCAATTTCTGTGTACTTAAAAATATTCTAAATGTAAATGAACATGTCATAAAAATTGTTTTTCCCATTTGTGTTTTTATATATTGTCGATCTTTGCTCCATATTAATTCCATTGCTTTATAGCTTCATAAATATTTTCATAGCCTCGTGGTTAAGAACATGGATTCTAGAATGACACTGCCTGAGTTTGAAACCAAATTACATCACTTACTAGCTGTGTGACCTAGAGCATGTTACTTATTAACACTTCTGTGCCTCAGTTTTCTTGAGAGTAAAATAAATATATTACCTGCCTCGTAGGGTTTAATATGATGATTAATTGATTGGTCAATACTTATAATGCACTTAGAATACTTCCTGGTATGTATTAAATGCTAGACAATTATAAATTAAATTTAAATATATTTTTTATAATTCGAATTTTGTATTTAGTATTTAATTAATTTCTATCTAATTTATTTGTTATATTTTTAATTTTTTGAGATAAGTATTCTATATTAGGGAACTTTGTTAAAAATAATATGTATAAATATAGGCAAAAATGATCCAATTTATAGCTTCTGTTTTTTGCCTTTAGTTATTTTTTGGTCACTTTTTGAAACAAAACTTACTGGAATTTACTTTTTATTCTTGTTTTGGTGGAATAATTTTTAAACAATTCGATAATTGCAGATTTCAGACTTTCAGACTAATTGAAATTGACCAAAGGAGAAGACTTATAACAGGTAGTGAGGTTTTATGGGAGGCTTAGAATTTTTAAGCCTTACTTATCTTTTATAATAATTTGAAAGCCTTTCATGCCCTCTTCAGGGTTTTATATTTTTCAGTGTGTACTTTTGGATAAAAGGTACAATGACTCAAAATTTCGAGTCACTAGATTTAGTGATTTCTTACATTTGTGATAATGTAGTATTAATATTGTAATAATACATAATATTAAATAACACTGCACAGTTTACAGAATACTTTAATGTATTTTCTTTAGACCTCAAAACAGATAAAAACTCAGTGCTCTCAAGGATTAGGTATATAATCAGGTCTCCGACTCCAATTATATTACTTTTATCTCTAGCACAGTTGTATTTACTGACAAACATGAAAAATAGAAGCTATAAGATGTATTATATTTAAGAATAGATGGTGTTAAAATAATAATATTTGAAAATATAATAGCGCAAAAGATTTAAAATACTCGATATCCTGTTGGAGAATTGTGTAAAATGAGTAAAACAAGACAGCTTCCCAGTTGGATAAATAATACTTGGATAAGAATTTCTTTTTATAGAATTGAAAGTCTGTAGACTTACCTAGGTTTAGACATGAAAAATTGGTTTCTCTTCTGATTTTTAGTAAAATGAGGGTAGTGGACTGAATAATCACTAATATATTTGAGTCTCTGACCAGGAAAGTAAGGGAACTCATTATCATCATTTTTAAGTATTTGAAGAAATATCATATTCAAGAGAGAACTTAGACTTTTTATAAGGTGTTGGAGAACACTGGGAAACATTTTATCCTCATTTTGAGGGATAACACTAACAAAACTGTCCAAAGATGGAACGGACTGCCTCAAAACCAGGGACAGTTCTCTGTTGTTGTAGCGGGTACCGCAAGATGGGGCTGCAGTAGAGAGGAGTCTGGTATTGGAGCAACGGTAAAACTAGTTAACTTTGATTCCTGCCAACTGCAGAATTCTTTAGTTTTAAGTTGAAGTTAGGAAGAGCTAGTTTGCCACATCAATATTTGTTGCGGTTCTCTCATTCATAAACTTGAGGGAAATACTCTTTGAAGGATAATCTGAGATTAATTGAGTCATTCAGTCTGTAAATGGTTTAGAAGCATTTAGTAAATCCAAAATAATAATGTTTCTTCTGTGCCTTTCAATTTCTGCACCTGAAAACTTTATATTACAACTACTAAAGATTATATAATTCTGAGTGGAAAAAATATACATTTTAGGGTTAAGGTACTATTGTGTTACAGGATGTTAAGTAATATGAAATATAATTTGTTTTATACCTTTTTAAAATGTTTGCCTCTCATATTTAACAGTGATTGTATTTCATTTCAAACCATTTAGATTTGGTATATATCTAACACATATTAGTTTTAAATGTGTAGTTACCGTATATCATAGACAGAGCTAGTTAACCATGTATTCATTTTGCATTATTACTTGAATATCTAACAAATGTAGACTAGTTTGCTCATGCAAATTGAATTTGATAAGCAAAAAACACAAATGAAAATTAGGTATAGTTTTAATTTCAAATAGTTCACTAAGAAAGCAAGAGAAAAATCATAGGCTACAGTTAATCATACTTTAATCTGCCGTTATCCTTATTTTTCCCCATTAATCTTTTGGGTTATTTTCTTGTATCTATTCCTTTTTAAACTTTTGAATCTAGGATGAATAAAGATACTTTCTTTTAATTCTAAAACTATTTATATTGCATTGTTCAAAAATGAGATTATCAAGGTCAAGTCAATAAAGGAAGAAATTTCCTGATGTTTTAAAACTTAACTTGAAAATAGTTTTTTAAAAACTATGCTATTACTAATTTTTTAAAACTTTATTTCAAATTTCAAAAATTAGAGAAATCACTTCATGCATTCATTTTATTCAGCAAGTATGCATTATACATCTGCTATATACCAGGCATTGTGCTAAGCACTGGGGCTTTGAAGGTGAACAAAACTTTAGGCTTTTAAATTGTTGAGATTAAGAAAGATGTGCTTTTCATTGACATTTTTCTTGTTGATGAATGAGCACATTGTTATAAATGTAAATACATATTCATTCTTTGTCTACCATATCAAAGTTTAAGCCTTGAATTATTTTGGATAAATATTCTCTCATGTCATTTGATATTATTTGTGTTTACATGTACTTGGTTGATTTGTTTGACACCTAACATATAATATATATTTTTCCCCTCTAGACACCAAGTATAGATGAAAAAGTAGATCTTCATTTTATTGCATTAGTTCACGTAGACGGTCATCTCTATGAATTAGGTAAGAACTTTAAACATTGGGGGGAGAAAAATGGGAAAGTCTGTATTTATGATAAACAAAGCTTTTGCTATTTATTGTGTTTACTTAAATTAATTGACTTCCCTATAACATGAAGTTGGCATAATGAAAATTTACCATTTAAGACTTTAGAAAAAATAATTTTTTTTGGTGTTAAAGCAACTTATAATTCAAGAATGTTTGCATACCGCCTTTGAATTTAAGCAAAGCAGTAAAGTAAAAATCATTATAGAAGACTCCTATAAATCACTTAGGTCTTCACTAAATTATTGAGTTACTTATCAACATCTAGATGGTTCATCTTGATTCTGAAACGAGTTTTAAAATATAATGTAATATTCATGACTAGTTTTTGTGTTCAGTAATGAGTATCACTAGTTTTCAGGCTTTTGTACCATCTCTTTGTATTAAATCTGAGTTTTTAAAAGACTTTACAGGATGTATATTTTCTGGCAACAGTTTCCAAAGGCATGTGTCAAAGTACCATGATTAATTACTTAGTATTTTGGCCTATATCTGTACTTATTTTTTAAAAAGTATAACTCTAGGTGGACTATTTCAGGGACTGTTTCAAAGAGATCCTTATAGACAGAGAACTTCTTATGATTCTTTTCATAATTGGTATATAATACCCATGAGTCCTTTTTGTCCTTCTCCATAAGACCTTCTTAGGTTAAAAAAAGGCCACAATAAAGAAACAAACAAAAAAATGAAGTCCTTTTCAATATTAGCTTGCCACTTTCATTTTCCTTTTTTAAAGACAGAGGAGTTCTGAAAGGACTTAGATGGTGGCTATAAATGTGGTCCATAAAATTTAAATCAGTTTTACATGTGGAATATGTATTAAAGAGGACAAGGCAAGGAAAGAACATGGTATTTATAGAAGTG